TGTTGGCCGGACACTATTAGCAACAACGTACTGTGGGAGAAAACAAACCAGATCACAGCGGAGGAGGAAATCAGGAAGAAGTGCTGGAAGTGGATAGGACACACATTGAGGAAAGTACCCAACTGCGTCACAAGACAAACCCTCACATAGAATCTTCAATGCCAAAGGAGGAGAGGAAGACCAAAGAACACATTACGCCGAGAAATGGAAATAGACATGAGAAAAATGAACAAGTGGATGGAACTAGAAAAGAAGGCCCATTACAGAGTGGGTTGGAGAATGCTGGTCGGCGGCCTATGCTCCATTAGGAGTAACAAGCGTAAGTAAGTAAGTAATTTTAAGTATAAGGAGAGACATCGTGTAACATCGCGACCCCTCGCACCAAACCAACGATGGACTCAAATAAACCATATTGCCATCAGTCATCGTTGGAGAGGATCGATAGAAGATTGTCGCTCATTCTGAAATACCTGCTTGAACTCCGACCATGCTCTAATAAGGGCACGCATTTGCTGGCGCCTTACTGGATGCAGAAAAACCACACTAAAAAGACCCATCAGAATTGAAGTGATTAATGAGAAAACCAAAAGTAGGTTCCAGGAACGACTGAGGTCACACTTAGGTAGTTCTGAAAACGAGGCTTACCCAGATGTTGCTTGGAAGGATATACCAACAGCTGTGGAAACAACAGTGACATCTGTTAGTGGTTTAAACCAAAGAGTTACAAAAGACCAATGGATTTCTTCTAAGTCTATTGTGGTGATGGATTCTCGTAAACTCATCCTATTAGGTTCTGAACACGATGTAGAGCGAAAACAAGTCAGATCTAGGTTAAGCAAAAGTCTAAGGAACGACCGTTAGCTGTGGTGGTCAACGAAAGCAAAAGAGATGGAAAAGGAGTTGGCTGTAGGTAACACTAGACGGCTCTACAGACTGAATTAATTACTTCTATAGATCCGTTGTTCGTCTTGTTGTGTTAATGAGGTATGGCACCTTGGACCTATGCACATATGTGCCTGGTCCTACGTTGTAGCTGACTGACTGACTGACTGATGTTGACACTTAAAATATCCATATAACTATATTTAACTAAAATTTATTTTCCCCGATACCTATCAGTAGATAAAAATTAATGTTTATATAATAACCTTCAAGGTAATTTTCGCTTATTAAATAACCTTTAGTTAAGCTGTTGAATATGTATCAATTAAAGTTATCATATCACAACTAAAATGTTTTCTTCTAAAAAAAAAAAACTAATCATAAGAAATGTGATGCCCATTTTAATAAATTCTATGGTTTTAATACAAATATTACTAAATGAATAGAATTACAACAATGAAAGTACACATTCTTAATGTTGTCGATATTACAGAACTGAAAGTCTAGATTGTTTGATAAAAAAAAATCATAAATATGTACTCAAAAGTCTTATTAGACAGTACTATAATTAAGATAAGATTACTTCATGTTCAAAATATTATTTATTCTTAGGATATTGTTACATGTTGTTATAGTTATGGATAAATATGTGTCTCATGAACCATTATCAACAAATTTTACATCGCGTATATGAATCAATAATCAGATCAATAGTATTATTATTACTGTTAGTATTAGTAGTGATATTATTACTATTATTATGGTAATGAGTACTAAGTATAAAAGAGAGAAAAAAAATTGAAAATGATTGCAAGTACATAGGCAGGTATGTTTGTCTAACCATCTTTGAAACTTAGAATAAAGTACATAACTGGAAAAATAAATCCAATTAACATCTATCACAAGTCGCATTTGTGGTTAACACTGTTGATAATATTAACACAAACTACTATTGGTATTATTCCATTCGTTATAATATTTTTTGTTTGTTTAGTATTTAAGTTCAAAACCTTTGATACTAAAACGAGGAACGAAACATTGGCTCATAGTGCAAATCAATGAAGTAATCAATCGGTATAAAACAATATAGTAATTATGATGATTACAGAAGAACAAGTGATTAAATAATCATGATAGTTTATATTATGGATTGATCCCAGGTAGACAGATAGGGAGGTTTAGACAACCATTTCATTCTAGTAAGAGCCTGTTCATCTGAGCTCACTTAAAACCCAGTTAAGAATCATACCTAATAAATAAGCGATTCAAAATTAGTAGTAATTTTCTGGTTATTAAAACTGTTTGTGCTATTCATAAATGACAACAAAATTGAATATTAACCTCTCACGTGTTCTTATAGGTAATAGTTGTGTCAACTACAGTGAATTGATATTGCCTGGGGAATTATCAATTGACATGACACAGTTGATTAGTATAGTACAAAGTTAGTGGGCTGAGTAAAACACGAACTATATCTTCTCGTTAGTTATTAGCTAAATTTGGTGGGAACAGAACTCATTAAAGCTGGATTGTGGCTGGTGTTGGAATACAGAGCATGAGTTTCATACTACTTGAAACTTGTCAGGAGGATGCAACTTACTCCCTACACCTTGAACAAGTCAGTGTCCAGATAGACTCTGTAGCTCAGTGGATAACTGGTTAGGGTTTGTAAAAGTTCGAAAATCAACACTGGGATCCAGGTATATCCAGTAAGCATCTAGACTTGTCATGAACCAAATGTTTCCAAACCTCTGTAAAGTGAACGCTACTGTCCTGTCAGAAAAGTCCATACTCATTAACCACACAACAGTCAGTCAACCTATCGATCACTCGGATATTAACAGGATATCACAATAAGAACAATGTTATTAAAGCATATTTATCAAATGAGACAAATGTACTAGTTTACAAAAAAACGAAGAGATGAATTTGAAGTACGAAACTGTAAAATGATAAGAAATAGTAAGAAGGACATATATGAGAAAATCATGTTCGGTTATAAAATTATTCATAAATCACATGAATAGTGTGATGTTAGTTTTGAATAGATTACAAACGCATTACCACCAATGATGATAATGGTTATGTTTAGGATACGGCTGAATATAAACAGACATCAATAAATTTCATGTGCAGCATCATATTTAAAACAAATAAGGTTGTTATATATATGTGTAATTTAAGAGCATACTCTACTGACCCGATATCTGACACCAGTCAGATCGTATGATGATTGTTATTGAAATATACGTGCCGCCAATTCTTGTATAGTTTTGTCAATATAATTCGCGCTAGAGAATAATGGAATAAAACAACTAAATATGAGGATGAATTTCAAACACGTATATTTCGTACACTCATTGATCGGAACAGACAATCAAGGAGAAGTGAAGAGAAGGGAGAGAAGAGAAACGAAGTGACTCGCAGTGGAGAAGGCGAGTGAGCCAACTCCATTCAACAAGGCGTGATTCACCAAGTAACAAAGCCAGAGTTTGACGTGAAAAGAATAAATAAATTAACCTATCTAGAATAATCCATGTGGGTTTAACATAGTAACAAACTCTACAACACCATGAACGGAATACGATCCAATAAACGAGAGATTGCCTTATTGATAAGTTTCAATTTATGGTTGAACTAGAGGGAATTGAATGAATTAGATCGTCTTTTTCCGAGTGAGCATGTAAGAAACATTTAAAATTAAACCCAGTGGTCAGCTCGAAATATAGGGTGGGAACCACGTAACGTCAAGAATTCATCCATTACAATTTCACTAGCGTTATTAACTGCAATCAGTATTTATAGACTACTAGGAAAATATCTTTAGTATGATATGCTTCTCTTGATGTCAATTTACAATAAAACACTTTCTGTAAGGACTTGTCAACTTCTAAGAAAATGATGCTCAGACCTAAAATGTACAAGGATTCTCCAAATCATCAAATAGAATGCACCAAAATGTGATGATCGTCAAATGAATTAGATTTTAATTTTGGATAATTTAGAGTCCTAGTGTAGTAGAACTAACTAAATTAAGCAGAAATTCAGTCATTACGGGAATTTTCGGCGGTGGTATTAAAGTCGAATTGTGGAGATGGAACCTTAGGATTAGTAGACAAACTTCGTAAGTATGTTGAAACAAGTGATAAATCTCTTCTGCCTTTTAAATAGATTCACCCATACGACATCAAATTACAATTCAAATATTATTTGTGGGCAAAATAAGTCATAAAGATCGACATGATCACTAACATCAGCTCGCAGAAAACATTCCAAATATGTTTAGGAGTTATGCAGTATTTTAGTTACAAAATACACCATCGAAAATATCGAACCAAAGTATATGCTAGATACTTTATTCTCTTATCAATTATTTTATCTAAAATGTTGTAGTTGGTTCCATTCTGTATTAGTCTGAAATTACGCCTTTGAAAACAGAGTGAATACATCCACGCAAACGTCTACTTTTTTGGACGGGTGTGTAGTAGGACACTCAAGTCACGATCAGAAATATTATAATTCTGCTAATTATTTTGCGCCTACTTAAATGACTATCTTTTAACATTAAATTTACAGACTACATAAACACATGACTTATAAATGGTTGATTGTTATGTCAGCCCACACACATGCCATACAATATGATCGTTACATAACATGATGCATATTTCTTGCAATCTCTGTCGTTTATATGTGTGACCTAACGGGTTAACGTCTGATATATATCTATCCCCAAAACATTTCTTGTCAAACTTTTGATACTGAGCTGTCAAGTGTATTTGATTATACAACGGGTTTAATTTAGGAAGTGTACGGAATTGTCAGGAACTAGAACTAACTGGATTTATACTGCATCACAATACGTAACACAATACACGGCAAATGACTAATGTAAAATAAAATTTAGATTGCAACAGGACAGAAACCAACAGTTTCAAAAAATTACTGATGAAAATTTTCTAGAAGAAGAAAGCTCATGAAGAAATGATATGAAATCTTAATTAGAGTTAGCGTGCATTTCAACCTGAAAAAACAACACCTCAATATAAATTTCCAATTAATATTTTATGTCACCGTATAATTAGTTAGATCTTTTTTTTGCATTTTTTGCAATACAGAATGAAATACGATAATATAGCTTGTAATAAATCACCTGAAATTCATCGTAAATTGGGTACAGGTAATCTTTTGGAACTGAGACGAAATAATGCTAAATATGGTGGATTAGAACAATTCAATCGACGTGATCTCTTAACAGCAATGATTACACACAGACCATGTAAAAATAATTTAGACGTTGATACATTTGAAGTAGGTGGATAATTTTTTTTCACTTATTAATACCTACTTTTTTTTACGATTATTTATTCTCAAGTTCAGTTATAAGTTTTACAATAAATTTTAATAATTTATTGGTTCTCTTGAATGTTTATAATTCACTTTGTTTAAACTGTTTAATAATTCCAAAGTAAAATCAAAAATGTATCTGCTTCATTTAGTATTTTTGTGATTGTCTAGGTTATAATCAGTACTGAAACTAAGTATAACTGTCTCACACCAGACACGGATTGGAACCCACTGGTAACAACTTCTCATTAAAACTCCAGGAATTCCATCATAAAGCTAGTCACTAGTACGCATATGATTATTATTAGTAAGGAACGTTCTAGCGAAAAGCCATGATCGGTGGAGTCCGATACGTGTTTGGTGGAAGCAGTTATCCACATCAGAGAATGGATGAAGGATTACTCAAGATCATGGATAGATTGAAGTTAGATATTGACACCGTCGGATGCCGGCTCAGTGATCTAGAGGTTAAGCGTTAGTACGCGAGACCGAGGGTCCTGGGTTTGAATCACGCATGTGGGATCGTGGGTGCGCACTGCTGGGTATCTTACTAGGACAAAATAGCCGTCCACCGCTTCCAGGTTTTCAACGTTGGTCTAGCTTATATCGACTCATGAATTCAACTGTTAAAAATATTTTGTTCTGAATATCGTGTTATCATTTTGGAATGAATTAATAATTTGAAAAATACTTAAGTGAAATCATTATTATTTGATAATTTTAATAATTAAACCTTTTTTAGACATTCCGTAATAAAAACTTACATCACTTACAGAACTGATCCCAAAAAGTACTGGATAATTTTTTCGTCTCATCGTCTAATCCCATGATGAATCGCTACTACGAGTTCTTAAAACGGGATCAAGACATTTGTTATTATTACATGGTTTTTTACTGATATACGATGATAAACAATTATACAAGTGTATTTATCTCTTTCAATAATTACTGACAGATTATACTGTTCAAATAGCGATAGTAAAATTAAATTATTTTTTGAAATACAAATCGTTACTTAAATGATGATGATGGCCAATTAACCAATATGTATTCATTATACGACTAATGATATACTCTGGATTACAGTATATAATAGAGAATTAGTTTTGAAGAAATCAAAATATCACTTTTTCACAAGTATTAATCTATCTCTTAGGTCATCTCCTCAGTACTAAGATTGATCAAGAACCAATATGTACTGTCATAAAACATAATACTAAGTTTTGATATTTGTATCATGTTTACGTCATAAAACTAGACTACATTTTACCATACACTAAAAATGATGTATTCATTGTATGTTTTCAAACTGTAACAAAATCATCACATTGAATTTTCTATATTAATTATGTATAACAAGTGATTTATCACAGTTCTGGTTAGTAATTTGTTCTTTTATAGGAAATTATCAGCTGTAACACACATGATTTGATTACTAAGTGATAAACTAGTTTCTATGAATAAAATACTAATAAATAACTCCACAAATTAACAGTGGTTATGGATTTTAGCTAGCGTGAGTTTAAATAGAACAGAGCAACAAATCAAAATATTTGGCACAATAAAAACAAAACAGTATTAGTATCATGCCATTTAATCTATTTGAATGAGTGAAAGAAATCTGATGTTTGTTATGCGAAACAGTAAGATGTATTTGTATATGTGACTAATGCTGTGAAATTTAAATAGATTAAATGTGCTTATTTAGACAACTGGTGTAATTTGTATTAACAGTAAGGCCTTCCGTGCTCTCCAACGTATCATAGTTTAGAAATATATGGAAAAAGTCAGATACTTGCTTATCAATATAGTTTCAAGAATCATGAATTATTTTGGCATTTTTGATATTGATGTAGAAAATTACTGTTGGTAACATCCTGTCTAAAATTAAAATATTCCCTAATAAAAATTCAACATATACAACACTATGTTATGAAATCATATCCTTCTAACATGAACTATTCTTTTGTCACTTATTATTATTGATCGACATTATGAAGCGATTGATGTTAGACCACCATTGAAATCCTGGAAGTACTGGACAGCCGTTTCGTACTATTGTGGGATTACTCAGCATCTAACATCAATCAGTTCATGATCTCAGTCAAGAACTTAATAATCTCCGCAATCCTATACTGATAATAAACATGTGCTCATTAGTGACTAGCTTCGTGAAGGAATTCTCGGAGTCCTAGTGAGAAGCCGTGACCAGTGGAGCTAATCCGTGCCGGGTAGAAACGAGTATTTACCTCATTACATTGGAAGATGATTGCGCAGTTTCATGGATCAGTTGAGGTTACACATTAACACCGTTGGATGTTGGCGCAGTATGATGAGCGTTTGCGTGCGAGAATGAGGGCTCTAAGCTCGAATCTCGCGAGCGGGATCGTAGACGCGCACTACTGAGAAGTCCCATTGTAGGATGAACCGACTGTCCAATGCTTCCAGGTTTTAAATGGTGGTCTAAAATCGATCGGTTCATAATCTCAATCAATAAATTAATACTCTCCATATTATTATAGTGATAAGAAACTTCCATATGAATAATATGAAACCTACAAGACGATTTGTACACGTATCTGCGTGCGTATCATCATCTAACTACTTAAAAATACGTTTGCCAGTTATTTGGTTAAAGGTTCAAAACGACATCATTTATTTTATTCGTGTTATCTAAAAAGTATATAATAATCAATAATTTTACGCATTTATCGTCTACCATCTGCTATTTTAACCTACGCTTAATAATTAAGGGTTTCACATAGATTCGGTCAAAGTGATTGTTTTAAATTATAAGGTTGATAAGTTAAAATTACAGCTTAAACAAATGGACTTATACTTATTTAACTGGTAATCCAGTTTTCTTTTAATATATAGTAGTCAATTTCTGTAAAGATAATTGCAATAACTTTCTTTCAGTCTATACATCCATATTAACTTTGGCTGTTTGATTAATTTTTACCTCTCTTAATGTGCTAGTTTAATTGCATACATTCAGGTTATGTTTTGTCACTATATTTCATTTTACTTTAAAATGGGCTTCTTGAATATGAAGGTTTTCCTGGACACCTTTTTTTTGTCTGTTTCATCTTATTGTATGTACTTGTCAAAGTGCTTTGTGAGTTAATTGGCCGTGTAGATCGAATTTCTAATTAAAAGCATCCCAATCACTAGTAATTACGAATTATTCTAAGTACTCATAAAATACAATTCTTCAAAAGTCAATACTAATGATATTATCCTTTCTCTCTAATAATAATGTAATAATTATCATAAATAATAATTATTATTTCAATGTATATTGGCATATTATTTGCTGTATTTTTTTTTTGTTTTATAGGAATTTTTAGAATGGATACAAAATGATTGTCCATTAAATTTACCTATGATAGCATTTACAGAATTAAATGAACAATTATTATGTCATCAAGAAAATATAAAGAAAGGACAAATAAAAGAATATACTAGAAAAGAAATCAATGAACGAGTGACTAAGATTAATATACCTGATCAAATATCAAATAAAACAGTTATTAATAATCAGATAGATGAAAACATTACTATCAGTAATAATAATAATAATAACAATAATGAAAAGAATAATCATTTAACTTTATCCAATAATTTTGGTGTACACAACTCTGTGAATGATATAGAAAACATTCCAAATAGTAATAATAACTATGATAATAATGCTAAAAATCAAGAGTCTAATCATTCTATTCATATAATAAAAATAACTGAATCAAATAATCATGATATTATTAAAGAAATTTCAAATGATTCAATAAACAATCATAATGATTCACAAGTTAAAACTGATGATAAATATTATTCACCAATAATCATAAATTGTGTTAAAACAAAATCATCATTTAATTCAAATTATTTTCCATTGGATAAACCATTATCAAAATTTATATATCGTTTATATTTGCAAGATATAAAACCTTGTTTTGAATTTATTAATAAAAAACTTATCTCTTCAATTTATCAAGCATTACCGGAATTAGGTTTAGAAATTACACCAATTACACCGGAATTAAGCGGTGGTTTACGTCGTAATAACGATATAAATGGTGGTGATAAAACAGTAAAAGTTGTTCATGAATACTGTTCATTAATGCCAAAATATGAAGCTGTGTTTCGTATGAAAATCAGAGTAAGTTGAATTGTTAAAAAAATTATTTTCACGGTAATCTAAAGTCCTGATTGATTTAGAGATTCATTAAAGATAAGTAATAGTAGTGTCATTTTTTCATAATTTGAAACATATCATAACATATATTACTGGATGTTTGGTTGAAGTCACATGACCTAGGTCATATATTCTGTCAGTAATTAAAAAGAAATACCTCAAATCTAGAAACCACATCTACTGAAACACTCAGTCAATTATATAGAACTAGGTCATCTGCAAAGTCCAAATCATCTAGTTGCATCCAACCTGTCCATTGTATTCCGTGCTTCCCCTCAGATGTCGAGGTCTTCATAACCAAGTCGAGCACCAGAAGAAAGAGAAAGTGGGAGAGTAAGCAGTCTTGTCTAACTCCCGTCCTTTCTCGGAATGCGTCTCATCTTACAAATGCCTTACTTGATTCTTTGAACAGCATCAGAGCAACTCCCTGAGTGTGTAGAGCATTTTCTTCCTCATGACCAGAGTACAACAGCATCTCTCTTGAATCTATCCTTTCGAATGCTTATTTTAGAAATCCTTTTTATAGTATGTTTATTATGCAACAGTAATAATAATGATAACAATAATAATTTACGGATAACTTACTGTTTACCTTTAAAAAGCTGATATATGACATTTTATGTTTTTTTTCTATTTCCTACACTAGACACCTGATTCCAATGAAATCGATTGTAAAATATCATTACCAGCAAGAGATAGACTAGTTGCAATTGTCAATCTATTTCAATACTTAAGTATAATAAAACGTGGTCTAGATTCTAGTCCGATGATTAGTACCAATAGAAAGAATGATAATCACTTCATCAATTTAAAGAATCGTAATAATTATCACAATAATGATAAAGAAGCCATCACAAAGGAAGTTGAGATACAAGAACAACAATTCCGTACAATTCAACGGCATCGATTAAATATCGCACTAGCTCGACTTGGATATGGAACACCAGATTTAGAGTGAATGCAGTTGATTGATTGCATTATTATTACGATGATTGATTCCTTTCTTGAATTATTGCTAAATGTATGAATTGATTTTGTAGACATCTAGTTGAGTTTACATATTACTTGTCATTTTACATTTACATTCCTTATGTGACTAATTCAATACCATTAACAATGATTTCCTTGTTCCTTCTAAAAGAGACTTTCTGTCTATCACCTTTTTTATACCGTTGATTTCCACGAAACATAAAGAAAAATACACATCAGGATCATGCGGAATCGTTGAACACCATGTACATAAATGAATAGCTGTCTAATTCAACTGAACAATTCAATAAAAATGTAGAAACAATTTTTTTTCAAAACGACACTTCACACATGTAAATAAATATAAACATACATTGACTTTTATTTATTTGTATTGTTTTATCGAAAATATTGAAATGATGATTATTTTCTTTTGGAAAATATAAGTAGATATGTTTTGTTTTAAAATACATACAGAGTGAATGTCAGCCGAAAGAAAATACAGTGGTCTGATTGATTAAGCGCCTGGCATGAGATTGATAGGTTCTAGGTTCGAATCTCGCGGGGTGCGGGATCGTGGGTGCGCACTGCCGAGGAAACCCATGCTAGGACGAAACGGCCATCCAGTGCTTTCAGGTTTTCCATGGTGGTCTAGCTTCAATTGACTCATGATTTCATTCTGTGAAATCTCTAAAATCTCCACAAATCCCTTCTGATAATAATCATCTGCTCACTAGTGACTGAATCCAAGAAATATTCAAGGAGTCCTAGTAAAAAGCCGTTACCAATGGAGTTCAACCAGGTCTGTTGTGAGATATCAGCTCACTGAAGACAATGGTATACGGTGGTGCAACTTCGTGGATTGGTTGAAGTTAAACATTAATACCGTTGGATGCCGGCTCAGTGGTCTAGTTGGTTAAGTGCTTGGCACGAGACTGATAGGTCCTAGGTTCGAATCTCGCGGGGTGCGGGTTTGATCATTAAATTAAATTTAACGTAAGTTCATGATGTCGAATGCTTCACTGAAACAGTAAAGGCACCAAATATAAAAAGTAATTGATAAAAAATATGAGAAAAGCAGTTAGTGGAGTGGATGCAAACATTGTAGTTCACTTGAATTTGTGGGTCAGGATAAGTAAAAACTCATTCAATTTGTAATGAGTTGTCATAAATTCATCATGTTCGGTACTATTTTATGAAGGATTAATTACTCACCGTCAGTGAATGCAGACTTATCTGATTAATGAGTTCTTAACAAGCTGAAACCTACTTCTTCAATTCAATCACTACTTACTTGCAGTAAGATATTTTTCAAGGTATCCTTCGTATCTCCTTACAACCTGGAATCTTGATATCTATCCTTTTTGTGAATAAAATACACATCGGAATGAGTTTTGTGGAGAGTTTTAGAGATTTCACAGATTGGAATCATGAGTCAGTTGAAGCTAGACCACCATTGTAAACGTGGAAGCCCTGGGTTCGAGCCCTGCGTGGGGCGGGTTCGTGGATGCGCAGTTCTGAGGAGCCCCATACTACGACGAAACGGCCATCCAGTGCTTCCAGGTTTTCAATGGTGTTCTAGCTTCAACTGTCTCATGATTTCAATCTGTGAAATCTCTAAAATCTCAAGAAATCCCTTATGAATATTCCAAGTTTTGTTCCTGGTTAGATTATTCATAACATTTTTCATTTCAATCTTATTTTCGCATAGGATTTCATTTTATTTCCGTTTTTCTTTTATTTATATTCTATTATCATTTATTATATTTATCTGTATAACATTTAGTGAATGTATACAATTATCTTGTTATGAAATAAATGATAAAATCATTTTGATATGATCAATTTCAATGAAACCAGATCTTTGCTATACAACTCGACAATACTATTATATTAAGGTAAAATCGATAATAAATAAAAAAAGACACCTTTAATTATTTATTACCTAATTTTTTCTTTTATTTATTCAAAGATTTAATTAGGTACAAAAACTATATGAAATATGTATTATGAAGTATCACACATTTAATTGCATTACATTCTTTACTTCATTATAACTTATAGTTATATAAAATTTACTAAATTACTTTCAGGATGATAATTGTAAAAAAAACAGCATCTTCCGACTTGAACACATAGAAATTGGCACAAGGAGGCACCAACATATATATGCGCCACACAAATCTCATTTGATTCGTGTAAGGACTGTGATACTGCTCGGGTGCCCAAACCAAGGCAGGTGGTTTTCTTAGGGGGCCACACTCGGAACCTTCGACCTAAAAGAGCTGATCCACAAGACAGTGAAGCAACGTAAGGAGATGCAGTCCCATGGTAGTCGGTGACCAACGATTGGTTCATGTGCCATTTGTTCCCTCAGGATACTGAAGCTCATGTGCAATTAAAAATATGTATTCACGAGCGTTATGGTTATTTCTGAAATACACAAATTAAATAATGTCTCGAGTTCGAACTGAACATATTATTTTTCGCTAAAATAAATGGACATTTTTTCATTAAGTAACATCACTAAAGTTCACCACGTTCAACCAGATATAACATTTGGATCTTGTAGAGTAAACATATGCTCACTTTTTTTCATTCAATAATCGCTGAACCATTTTTTTTAAAAAGCAACAAACAAATCTCATTGCACCAACAAGTTGATCATTTTAGTGCGTTATTTTGAAAAACAAATGATTTGTATTTTCACAGATTGAAATCATGAGTCAGTTGAAGCTAGAACACCATTGAAAACCTGGAAGCACTGGACGGCCGTTTCGTCGTAGTATGGGACTCCTCAGCAATGCGCATCCACGGTCCCGCCCCACGCAGGGCTTCCACGTTTTCAATGGTGGTCTAGCTTCAACTGACTCATGATTCCAATCTGTGAAATCTCTAAAACTCTCCACAAAACTCATTCCGATGTGTATTTTATTCACAAAAAGGATAGATATCAAGATTCCAGGTTGTAAGGAGATATGAAGGATACCTTGAAAAATATCTTACTGCAAGTAAGTAGTGATTGAATTGAAGAAGTAGGTTTCAGCTTGTTAAGAACTCATTAATCAGATAAGTCTGCATTCACTTACGGCGAGTAATCAATCCTTCATAAAATAGTACCGAACATGATGAATTTATGACAACTCATTACAAATTGAATGAGTTTTTACTTATCCTGACCCACAAATTCAAGTGAACTACAATGTTTGCATCCACTCCACTAACTGCTTTTCTCATATTTTTTATCAATTACTTTTTATATTTGGTGCCTTTACTGTTTCAGTGAAGCATTCGACATCATGAACTTACGTTAAATTTAATTTAATGATCAAACCATAATGGATTATAATTTTACTGACCTCATATAAATATGAATGACAAAACAAAAAGGAATCATGAATAATTTTTCCAATTTTAGATTGACAGTTACGACTAACTTATTTCTAGAGGTACTTCGATGAAACTGACAGCATTAGCAAAATGTTGAGAGTTGTTCATAGACATATCGAATTGTAGAAAACAACCCTTTCAAACAGATCAAATTCTTCAGTGAGGGTGGTAAACATCAAAAAAGTAACGGAAAAACATAAGAACTTTCGATCTCCTTTGATGATAAAAACATCGAATGTATACGGTCTCTTGTATTTTCCGATTGCAAATTACTTTCCCAAAGTTTTATAATTAATTGAGTTTAAGAAACCCTATGAATGTGAGAAACGGCTAGGCAGTCAAAAATTTTGGATATCTAACGACTTCCATGAATTAGCGAAATGGTTAGCTAAATTGTTAAACTCAATTTGTAATAAACTATGTAAATATCCATGGTCGGTCTAAGCATTTTCAATAGGGATTTGACAAACACATGGATGCGCTACATATCTGATATTCATCATTTTGTGGTTACAGTCAATATGTTGTACCTAATACATCATACTTATGTACACCTACCTATCTATTCATAACTGGTAGTTAGTACAGAAAATACAAAATCGTATTCAAATAATTCGGATTCTTTTTATCAGAATAAAAAAAAAACAATTTTGTTTATAGAAACAAAACACAATATAAACTGAATTCAATCTTGGCAATCAGGCTGTTAAAATAAAAACAAACTAAAAGGAAAAAAATAATCGAAGAAATAAGCAGAAAAATTATTGATGAAAGATGTAAATTATGCACAATATAATTCAAAGTTAGTAGAATAAGTAATACAGAAATTCATAAACAAAACTGGTTGATCATACAGCAAAATATAACAGAAAATTAAGTAGTATATTTTATAGAAAGAAAAAGGTGAGAGAGTTTTCCCTTTCAAAATACATTCTTTTCTAAATACATCTTTACATGTGTAAATGAGCAAATTTAGTTGTAAAAGTTAATTGAAAGAATCAACAATTTAGTGTTGGTAAAAAAAAAAGAAAGAGAAAATAATCCATAAGTGAACTAAATGACAAATACAAACTGCATCTAAATAGCATTAAGTCAACAAATTAAATTATCTATATACCTACATTCGGAAACAAACATGTAAATGTCTCCTATTTTCCTTTGTCAAATTTTTATTATACAGAATTTCAAGAAACAGTAAAGATATTAACTTCATAAGATTTAATACATATATATTTGCACAAATCATTAAAACAGTATGTTGGTAATCAGTGAAGTTAACAAATTGATCATATGAAACGAATACACAATAACACAATTGGTGCAATAAAAATAAGGCAGAAAAAGGATGGAAACAGCACTGAAATGTAAAATAATAAATATGAAGAGAAAGGATTTTAAAAAATCACTTAACAAAATAAAAGAAGAACAACACCAAAACCACCTTAGTCAACTAAGTGGCGAAAATGACATAAAGAAGAGTATATATGTTTATAAATTGGCAAAATTAAACAAGAACAAGTAAACAACCATAGTCATCATCATCATCACAGTGAACAATTTATTCTCCCTAATAGTAATGGCGTTAAGTAAAATAAACAGTGGTTGACACTTATTGACATTATTTTTTATAACAAAAGTCATGTGAAAATAAAATGTGATAATCATGACGTCATATCAATGGTTCATGCTAAAGATTATCATCAATATCAGGCTTTAAGACTTTCGACGAAGTCCCATATGGCAAATTTTTAGCAAAAATTTTTATAAATGTTAATGAAGTCGATATTCTGATCATAGTTAAAAATAATATTACTATGATAAAAGTTGAGTAGGTGCAGAGATTCAAAAAATGGAATCATCAAAGCCACATACGCATTTATTTACAATAAAGTACACGACAATGCACTTATACACAAAACATCCTACTTATTACAATAAATCAGTAGTTCAAAAAGAAACACAAAAATAGGCTAATGGTTAGAGAAGCTAGTGAAAGCCCAACGTAGAGAATTCGATCAGTTATAAAGACAGATAGATAAAGAAATGAAGAGATGACAGTAGTCCAACAAAACAGAACAAAGTAGAAGAGAAGTAGGGAAATAAGTCGAGAATGAAAACGTCAAAACGGAACAGAAACAGAGAATGAAGTTAATGTGAATTAGGACTATTTTATAAATATCAATAACAAGAATTACAAATTACAGATCAAAATTAGCTTTTCTTTCTCTTTTAAAAGACATAAACTATAAACAAACAAAAATGTTCTAAAAAAATGTAATAGGATTCACCAACACTAACTATCAAGGTGAACAGGAAAGACAGTTTTTAATGACGCACAGAAACAATTTTTTGTACTGAAATAATCTTTTACACTTTCTACAAGAATAATTGAAAATAAGATCTAAAAAAACTTTTCAATAAATATCTGGACATTTTAACCAATCTTGTTGTTCTTTTGATTTCCAATAGTTTCCTAAATATTCATGATATACATTACCATTGACATCATGTTTTGGTGAAAACCAAACTGGTGTGAATAATGGTTCGTCTGTTTGACCTGAAGAAAAATAGCATATATATATACAAATATCAAACCATACACTTAAGTGACTCCATTACAGATGGAATAGTCGAATACCTATATTCCTTAAATTCGATTATCTTTATTCAAAAACCGAATAAATAATTTTCCCGCAATCAAAGGTCAGTCACTCAAATTAAATTCACACTATCCTAATTCCTAAACAATATAATTTCATGTCCGAACAATAAATATGGAAAGATTTTCTACTTTTCCCACTATAGATGAATCTTCAAAGAAGTAAATCTTTCGAGACCTATAAGATAATCAATAGGCAGTGTTACTAAAAGTCCAAATACTAACGCTTAGTGATATCTAAAAATCAGGCAACTAGTGAAATAGAATCAGCTTACAAGTTATGAAATAAAAACATACGATTACTTTTTAAGCATGTTACTGCATTAGTAATCAGAAAACTGTGCGGTAAAGTAAACTAAATAACTGATCCGTCATAACCATGTTCTTTGAACAAAAAAATACTATTGATAGATAGCTAATTCATTTAACTATTAACTGATAGAAGACTAGAAAATGGAATAAAACACGTAAATGTGAAAAATCCATTGTAATATGGTATTAAACATGTGCTAAAGAGACTGTGGATAAAAAGCTACTTTATAACAATGAAGTGTAGGCTTATAAATTAAACTGTTTACCATCAATATTGTATTTTATACCATTTAGAAATAAAACAATAAGGTTAACTAAAACTAAATCAGTTGACATGTTGCTAAATTATTTTATCTGTGGTATTTTTAATATGTTATATGTTGTTACCTGATGGTTTAAACATGTAAGTACCTATATTGGTTTCAATAGTCCCTGACGTAGAAAAGTTAGAATTCATGACATGACGATGAAGTTTGGTTTGATAAATGATGTAGTAAATAATAAATGATACAATTCTGCCTTAAAACAACATCAGAATAATACCTTCTCTAACTGCTTTCTCCCATGCATGTCGTTTATTCCTTTGTTTCGTTTCAAGGCGCCTTTTTTCTTCATTTGCTTGATCCCATAATCCTTGTTCCATAAGACGTTGATCAGGTCTACGTCTTGAATCAGTCGGTGCAACACCATCTTCCATTTCATTTAATTCAATAGCAAATCGAGAAAAGTGATACATCTAGAGTAGGAAGAGAAATTATTTCAATGAAAACGTTTTTAAGTTATTTGAATATGATATTAACAGGTTCTGAATTTCGATTAGAGAGGAAAACAACTTTCTAAAACAAATTTGATATTAGCGCAACATTGATTGCTTCGTTTCTTCTATTCATATTCAGCAAATACAACTCACACCTTCCAGAGTTAGCACAATAGCTTCTTAACTAATAGTGACGCCGACAAAGCAGTTGAAAAGAATTAACACTTTCTTAATCCTCTTAGTTGAATAAGTCTCCTTATCCTATTAACGTTTAATATAAATAACAATATGGCATCTTCAAGCTTGTAATATATTCGTTACGAAATTCAAACAACCCAGATTACAGTTCACATCAATATTCATTTAAAAAATGAGGTGATTAGAAAATGTGATAAACAAGAAGACAAAAGAATGGTAGAAATCCTTAGTGATGAAATCTCATTAAGTCAATATGAAGTTCAAGTGATACTTGCCAAACTATGTAGACTACAGTAGCTATTTTTTCTAGAAGAAAACAAATTTATCACAATCCAAAAAGAGGTTGACTAACATTTTGATTAATTATAACTTCGAGAAAGAAATAACAGCAGATTATTATTATCATTAGTTGTCATCAATGTCCTTCACATACGTTTCGCTTTCTGTGACAAAAATCATGATAATTTGGTTTCAATTTAGCTAGTTTTTACCTTCAACTGATGCTTAAAATAGTTACTATTCGTGCAATAAACTAGATGTGTGTTCAGTGCCTCTATCATCCTCAAATAGCTTTCAAGCTGGTCTCCTCTTACACTAAAAACCTTCAAAGTGAACAAGCGAAAACATCATCTGTTTGTCGTGTCCACACTTTAATGTAAAATTTAGTACGACATAATACCAGAGAACAGTCAGTCAGTCAGTCAGCTACAACGTAGAACCATGCACTTATGTGCATCGGTCCAGGTTGCCATACCGCATCAGCACAACAAGATGAAGACCGGATTCATAACAGTGGTTAGGTAAAAGGTGGTAATATATAAGAGAAAGATTGCATATAGAGATATAGTACAAGAAGAAAGAATTGGTTAGTAGAAAGAAAGATATGAAGCGCTTTTAATCTCTTAGTTTAAGGGAGGAAACCGAGTGTATACACCTACGCCATTGTGATCGATTCTGAGCCATGTCACCAAGAGTCTCCAACCATTGGTTACGATAGTCATGCGGACCCCAACCAAGTAGTCTGCATCTACCAACATGGCTCAGATTAGAAGTTAGTGACTTCAAGCACTGATGCCACGTTTTGGTTTGGCCGCCCCTAACTTTCTTCCAACCATCCCCAACACCGGATAGCATTTCACGTCGTGGTAATCGGTGTTCAGGCATACGTAACACGTGGCCCAACCATCTCAGTCGATGAAGATTCATAACCTCATCAACTGATTTACCATCCTTTCCTAATACCCTGCGTCTGACCTCACTATTACTTACCCGATTATCCCAGCAGACGCCAGCAATATTTCTAAGGCATCTGTGGTCAAATACTAGCAGCTTGCGAGTGTCTTCTACTCTTAATGGCCATGTTTCGCTACCGTAAAGTAAAACAGAACGGACTGCCGCGCAGTATACTCGTCCTTTTATTGATAGACGGATATCTCGCCTTCGCCACAGGTGACGTAAGTTGGCAAAAGCCAAACGAGCTTTTCGAATCCGTGCTGAGATTTCGTCCGATACCAACCCATTAGGGCTGATCAGACTTCCAAGATAAGTGAAGTTGTCAACGCGTTCGACTACTTCACTCCCTATCCTTAGTTCAGGTGTTAACGCAGACCAGTCCTGAAGCAACAACATGCATTTAGAAGGAAAGGAGCGCATTCCAAACATTCTGGCATTGTTACTTAGTGCTACCAAAAGACTCTGCATTCTATCAGCGTCTTCACCAAACAGGACTATGTCATCTGCGTATTCTAAGTCGATAAGTGGACCTCCTGGAAAGAGATCAATACCCGAGAACTCAGTCGACGAGAAAGTTATTTCCATCAGTAGATCTATGATGAAGTTAAACAAAAATGGGGAAAGTGGACATCCTTGACGGACACCACTTGAGGTTGCAAAACTAGATGACAGTTCGCCATAAGCTCTCACTCGACTAGTAGTGTTCGAGTAAAGAGCCTTCACAAGGTTTATGTACTTCTGGGGTACGCCTTTCAATGACAGACACTGTCACAGAACCTCGCGGTCTACCGAGTCAAATGCTGCTTTTAAGTCAAGAAAGACCACCATCGTCGGACGCCGATAAGTATGCCTATGTTCTAGAACCTGACGAATGGTGAATATGTGGTCGATGCAGCCACGACCAGGTCTGAAACCAGCTTGGTTTTCTCGTGTTTGCAGTTCACGAGTCTTAGTTAGGCGTCTGATAATTATCGAGGCTAGTATTTTAGATATTATATTAGTTAAACTAATCCCTCTGTGGTTGTCACAGGATGATTTTGACCCTTTCTTATATATTGGGACGATAAGTGATTGTGACCAGTCAGATGGAATAACGTCTAACTCCCAGATCTTAGCTAAAATATTAGTCAACCTAATCGCTAAAATTGGACCACCATCCTTAAAGACTTCTGGAACCAGTCCATCTGGTCCAGCTGCCCTTCCTCGTTTCAGATTATCTATAGCCTTTTGAACTTCAGCAAGAGTTGGGGGACCTACTTCAATGTTCCATTCACGCTGTCTGGGAATGGAGGGTAGTTGTAGAGTCGCTGAAGGCCAGCTGAACTGTTCCCTAAAGTGTTCCGCCCATCGTTCTAAACGTCTGGACTGAGAGCAGATGAGAGTATCGTCTTTTTCCGATATAATCTCACTTACACTTGACTTATTAATTCCAGTTTCTTTTATTAGTCTGTAAAGTTATCTTGTGTTCCCTATAGTCGCCGCCTTTTCCATCTCTTTTGCTTTCGTTGCCCACCACTGCTCACGGTCGTTTCTTAAACTTTTTCTTAACCTAGATCTGATTTGTTGTCGCTCTTTATCATGTTCGGAACCTGATGGGACGAATTTGCGAGAATCCATCAGTGTAATAGACTTTGAAGAAATCCACTGGTTCTTGGAAACTCTGTGGTTTAAGTTGCTAATAGATGTCACTGCTGCTTCCACAGCTGCTTGTATGTCTTTCCAAGCAACATCTGGGTCAGCCTCGTGTTCAGAACTACTTAAGTGTGAACTCAGTTGTTCTTGGAACCTATTTTTGGTTTTCTCGTTACTCAATTCAGTTCTAATTGGTCTTTTTAATGTGGCTTTTTTGCGTCCGGTGAGGCGCAAGCAGATGCGTGCCCGTATTAGGGCATGATCGGAGTCCAAGCAGGTACTCCAGAATAAGCGACAATCTTCTACCGACCCTCTCCAACGATGACTGATGGCAATATGGTCTATTTGAGTCCATCGTTGGTTTGGTGTAGGGGGTCGCCATGTTAGACGATGTCTCTCCTTATGCTTAAAATTTGTGTTTGCTAAAAATAAGCGATTGTCTGAGCACAGTTGCAGCAGACGATCACCATTATCTGTTCGCTGTGCCGGAATGCTAAAATATCCACCTAAATGCCTTTCTGTTTGGTTTAAGCTACCTATCTGCGCATTAAAGTCACCCCCTACGAGTACTATGTCTGAGCGTTTAGCTTTCTGAAGAAGTTCAGAAAGCTTCCTGTAAAATTCATCCTTCACTTCATCGGAGCTGCAGTCAGTGGGAGCGTAGGCAGAAACGACAAAAAGGCAACGACGTGTGTCCCTATCCTTCCGAGTTCTTACGGAGCCGTTTAGCCGAACAGCACATAGACGACTGTTGATGGGGATCCACTCTAGCAGTGCTTGTTCCGCCCTCATGCTTAGTGCTATGCCTACACCTGCCAGTCCACGAGAACTGGCCATCGGGTCACCAGATACACGTAGGGTGTATCTCGTTGGCTCTCCGTTTTGCCGAGGTGAGGTCAAGTGAATGACCACACTGGAATCCTGTATGCGTGTTTCGGAGACACAGCATACATCGATGGAAAGAGACTCTAGGGTTTTAGCCAAGGAAGCCTGCTGACCGATTTGACATAAAGTGCGTACGTTGAAAGCTCCAATGTGTAGTTTGGAGCGAGGTTTCAGTAGACCTGGGACAGAGTTTTGAGCACTAGAATCGTTGGCTATGGTGACACTTGAGGAAGAAGCCGAAGGAGGAAGTTTAGGGTTGAAAGTCGATGTAGGAGGGATAATAGGAATTGAAGAGGAAGGTTGATTATGAATACAGTGGTCTTGGGTGCTGTTAGAGGTATGAGGGCGGTTATCACTTCCCGGTTGCCCACACCGTGGAAGGGTTCTTCTGGAGGTACCTGAAAAGGAAATTGGATTAGAGGCGGTCTCGGCGACCTGAGAGCGTGACCGCAGTGCCCAAGGGACAACTGCTTGAGGCCGGTCGCGCACGGCCTTTCCGTGGAAGGTTTTTGACATGTTAGCTCCGTTCTTCAAAGGGCCTTACCGCCGGAGACGGAAATCCGTGAGGTAAGGTGAGGTGTGCATTTTTAGGGTCGACCTTTTCTAACCCCACCCCTCCTTGTGGGAAGGCAGCATCGCTGTCATGCTGGTTGTCTGAAGGAAACACCTTACTGCTGTCACACCTCTGTACAGTCAGCAGTACGACTTCGCCTTCGGACCTTAGGTTTGTTGCTTTTAGTCTTACCGCTCTTCAACCGACCTGTCTGACATGGTAGGACCTTGAGGAACGGTTGTTCCAGCCAGTATAGCTCGGTTGCTTCATCACGATAGGCAAGCCCGACCACCACGTCAAGGTAGCAACAACGGTCGGGAACAAGGAAGTATTCGAATGAATACAACTGACTACGGCGATCTAACAGATTAATCGTTAGCAAATTTAAACCCAAAAATCTATGATTTGAATTTTTTTTTTACTTAATAGAATCATGAGGTTGTCATAACAAATAATTCTTCGTTCTTCGTTCATATCATTGTGTTTTAATATAATGGGAATTTTTCAGTGATTAAAATTAGTAAATGTATAACAATTTTGGAAGTAATCGTGTAGTATTTTCCTTTCTTTCAATACATGTACAACAACAAAGTCAACCAATACATATGCATATTTATTACCTTTCAGTTCAATCTATTATTTTCTTGTCATATAAAAGTAATCAGTGAATGTGTAGATTGACAGAAAAATTAAGCAAGCAGAATTCCAGTTCTTTCTGATTTTGCTCAATTATTCGTAAGAACAAAGCAAAACTTTTATTATCTAACAAAACTTAATACCCTACCCTTTCTATCATCTTATTACTTTATACTAATTACAAATTCATACTATCCAGCATTATTATTATTATTATATATCCAGAATTATAGGACTTAGTAATCATAGCATAAACTTACATCAGAAGCATTAGAAGGTAATGGATCAGTTTTCCATATTAATATTGGCTCACCGACAGGTATTTTATCGATTGATAAACGTTGATATTCTAAATAATTATCCCATGTTCCTTGAATTACAGCAACTGGTACACCAGTTGAATTTTTCACAAAACCTGTAACCTAATATATTTTTTTTTTAATGAAAAGAAAACATAATCAAGAAGAAAATTCCATTTAAAAAGAACTAAGAAATCTTTAACACTATCCAATATTAAAATTATTGTACAGAAAACCCTCAATCTTATTGATCTAAACAATTTGTTTTTTGTTTTTACCAAACAAATGAATAGTAAGCAGATATGTTGACTTTGTAGGTTTACACAACTGTAAATAACAAAAAACGCCCATGAATATCTGGTTACAGTAAATCAAGATCAGTAAACAATATTATGTTCTAAAACAAACGTTTATTGATGATTACAATTCTACACTAATACATTGTGAATTATATATTTAAAGTATCATTTAGTTTAAGGTTTGAGGTTATATATTGCAGTAAAAAAATCTAAACTATTTTATATATTTTTTGGTAGACTATGATTATGTTTAATAATTGTGATGTGATAAAGTTTTCTTACTGAAAAATATATGTTAACCAATATGGAATAATTTTAAAAGTATAGAACTTGAGAGAATAAAAACTAACAATGGATGAAAGATTGTACAACATCAAGGATAGATTAAAGTTAGATTATTAACACTGTCGGATACTGGCTCAGTGGTATAGAGATTAAGCGATTACGCACGAGACTGAAGGTCTTTGGTTCAAATCCCGTGTATGGGATCGTAGCTGCACACTACTGAGGAGTATCATACTAGAACGAAACAACCGTCCAGTGGTTCCAGATTTTCATTGGTGGTCTAGCTTAGATCGACTCATGAATAAAAAATTAAAATCACTACAATCTCCACAAATCTCCATTATGAAAATAGTAAATAGGTAATGGCAGTTTTTTTTTTACAAAATATATAGCATATTTAGTAACATAACAATTTTTGTTGATAAAATCCTTGTGTTTGTATCCGACAGAAATACATTTCACTTTTATACGATTACACAATAAAGTCTTTACAGAATAAAGACTTCACCTTATCACGAATAAAGGATAGGACAAATGAATTGGGCTATATAGTGAGAGTGAACTCTAGGATGCTCTGGATAGGGTATTATCATAGACCTTTCTTGTAAACAAGAGGTATGAAGAGAATATATATATATAGCTGAAAAATTCCCATTATATTAAAAACACAACTGTATGAACGAAGAATATTCTTTTCAATAATTTCTCATCAGGTTCTACAATTATAAATCCAGATTAATAATCCATAAAATTAGCCAGATTTAAGGCAGAGAGCACATCATTTGGAAATTGTAATATGTGAATCAGGAATTGTTTGTTATATAAATAAAATTGTTAATGTTGGGGCTGACTAATATGAAGTGTTAACTTGAATCAGTTTAAAAGTGAAATGAAATTGTGAGATAAATTATCAGAATAAATATGGTTAACATGGGGTAAGAGAGAGAGAGAGAGAATATTTTGATTACAAATCGGAAATTGCGTAATATGTAAAATAATTAGGTCAGATATAGTAGATTCAGGGGTGGATATTGAATAAATTCATCAAAAAGGGGTTATCAAGTGTAAAGACAATAATAATAATAATAACAGTAATAATAATAATAATAATAACAGTAATAATAATAATAAGTTTGGGACATAAAATGAACATTAATCAGATTACGTCACCATATTTTAAGATTGATTATTAGCTAGTTGGCCAGGGTAAAAGGAGTGGCTGAACATACTTCTTTTGGATACAAAGCTCTGGCTTTTTAATTCGAATAGCAATTGCTTCAGCCGTCTGTAGGATTCGCAGTCTGACGGAATTAGGTAGACTGCTGTTGACACGATAAACTATTGCAAAAGATTGCTCCATGTTGGCTGTATGTCCTGTTTGGACTAAATGGTCTAAGATGGAGCTGTTAACAGTTTTTGACAACACCTTTGCTTAACCACACGGGTAGGTGCTCACGAGCCCGAATGTACAAATTCCTAGAACATCTGCCAATATAACTTGCTCCACAGGAGCAGTTGAATTGATAGATACAGAAGGAGGTGGCTAGTCTAGGTAATTTATCTTTCAACCTCGGAGTGATTATTGGTCGTGTGGAAAATACTAGTTGTAGTTTAGCTGCGTTAAAAGTCCTTTGAATTGATCTACTTAACTTGAGTCTTAACATTTCACCTCTGAATTGTAAGCGTATATATAGAGGCTTTCTATTTACCGTTGGGTATTCTCTACGCTATCTTTTATTGACTAAGTTTTTATTTATAAATTTCTCTGGATATCCGTTTTCTTTCAGGGTTGTAAACAATGTCTTAGTCTCATCTTCAATCGTATCCATAGTGCATATAGTCTTGATTCTATAATGTAGTGTCTTGATAAGGTTCCTTTTTTGTTGTAGAGGAACGAAACTGAAAAAGTTAGTATAATGACCCGTCCAGGTCATTTTCCTGTTTATGTTTCTTTTTAGCGATCCATCTTTTCTCCTTGTAAGCAGAACATCTAAGAAGGCTAATTTACCCCCATTTTCTTTCTCACATGTGAATTTTATGGACGGGTGAGCTGTATTGAATTGCTCGAGTGTTCTTATCAAGTCCGTATGCTCGTTACAAAGGATAAATGTATCATCCATATATCGACAGTACAATGAAAATTTATCGATCTCTTGTGCCAGTGGGCCGTTTTCTAGTTTAGAAAGGAAAATGTCTGCCAATATGGGACCCAGGGGTGAACCCATCGCGACGCCATCTATTTGTCTGTAGATTTCTCCATTGAATTTGAAATGTACATTCATAGTGCATTTCAGTAATAGTTCCTTGATGATCTCTACAGGAATTGTCGTTTCTAGTTCCTGTTCTCTAAGTTGTTCACAAATATATTCTACAGTTTCTCGGAGTGGAACATTTGTGAACAGTGACGTAACGTCAAAAGAAATCATCGTCTGATCTTTCGTGTTTATGTTTTTAATCCTGTCAACGAATTGGAATACGTCCTTAATACCAGGCGATTATGGAGTGGTTTCAAAACAGTTACTAGCCACTTTGCTACAGTATGATATGGGGAATCATACATGTCCAGAATTGGCCTTAATGGGATATCCGGTTTATGTATCTTTGGCAATCCGTATAACCTAGGTAAATGTGTACCTATCGGCTTAATTGTTTCATATACGTCTTTTGGAATCATTTGTTGATCTCTGAGCTTTTTTAAGGTTCGGGTCAGTTCACTCTCTATCTTATTATTGACATCTTTTTGATTATTCAGTTTCTGAAATTTTTGAAGATCATTCAAGATGTTATTCATCTTATCAATGTAATCTTTTTTGTTAAGCAGGACGATTCCTGTTCCTTTATCGGGTTTTGTGATGATCAGATTCTCGTCACTAATGAGATCCATGATAGCCTCCCTGTGTTTCTTAGCTAAAATACTTCTGTAGTTATATCTGCTATTCTTAAACTGTTAGCAACAGTCAACTAGGTTTGATTTGAAACGTTCAAGTTCCTGGTCAGAGGTCGGGACCAGATCTGATGTCTGACGATCTAGGTTTTCAAATTGGATGTCTGTATCAATTTGATTTACGCGGTTTCGTGTGTAACAGAATTTTAGGCCAAATGCTAATACTTTAAGTTTTTCTTGATTTAATTCAGTACCGGAAAAATTGTGCACATACATTTTTGGTTCCGTCGGAAATTTATTTTCAACCGGTTGATTTTCAAGGCTTTTGAGAAGTTGGATATGTTTCTTGTTTGAACGTTCCTTAGTTATTTTTGTGACATACTCCATGAACTGGGACTTAAGGTCTTCTGATAATTCACCAACTGCAAATCTTCTGCGAGCAATGTTTACTTCTATCTCTGTCAAGTCATTATTCAATGTGTCAATTTTATTAATTGCATAGCGTTTTAATGTTTTTCTATTTGGATTAACATGATTACGGCGTAGTGACTTATAGAACAGTTTCGGATAACACAGGGAGGCTATCATGGATCTCATTAGTGACGAGAATCTGATCATCACAAAACCCGATAAAGGAACAGGAACCGTCCTGCTTAACAAAAAAGATTACATTGATAAGATGAATAACATCTTGAATGATCTTCAAAAATTTCAGAAACTGAATAATCAAAAAGATGTCAATAATAAGATAGAGAGTGAACTGACCCGAACCTTAAAAAAGCTCAGAGATCAACAAATGATTCCAAAAGACGTATATGAAACAATTAAGCCGATAGGTACACATTTACCTAGGTTATACGGATTGCCAAAGATACATAAACCGGATATCCCATTAAGGCCAATTCTGGACATGTATGATTCCCCATATCATACTGTAGCAAAGTGGCTAGTAACTGTTTTGAAACCACTCCATAATCGCCTGGTATTAAGGACGTATTCCAATTCGTTGACAGGATTAAAAACATAAACACGAAAGATCAGACGATGATTTCTTTTGACGTTACGTCACTGTTCACAAATGTTCCACTCCGAGAAACTGTAGAATATATTTGTGAACAACTTAGAGAACAGGAACTAGAAACGACAATTCCTGTAGAGATCATCAAGGAACTATTACTGAAATGCACTATGAATGTACATTTCAAATTCAATGGAGAAATCTACAGACAAATAGATGGCGTCGCGATGGGTTCACCCCTGGGTCCCATATTGGCAGACATTTTCCTTTCTAAACTAGAAAACGGCCCACTGGCACAAGAGATCGATAAATTTTCATTGTACTGTCGATATATGGATGATACATTTATCCTTTGTAACGAGCATACGGACTTGATAAGAACACTCGAGCAATTCAATACAGCTCACCCGTCCATAAAATTCACATGTGAGAAAGAAAATGGGGGTAAATTAGCCTTCTTAGATGTTCTGCTTACAAGGAGAAAAGATGGATCGCTAAAAAGAAACATAAACAGGAAAATGACCTGGACGGGTCATTATACTAACTTTTTCAGTTTCGTTCCTCTACAACAAAAAAGGAACCTTATCAAGACACTACATTATAGAATCAAGACTATATGCACTATGGATACGATTGAAGATGAGACTAAGACATTGTTTACAACCCTGAAAGAAAACGGATATCCAGAGAAATTTATAAATAAAAACTTAGTCAATAAAAGATAGCGTAGAGAATACCCAACGGTAAATAGAAAGCCTCTATATATACGCTTACAATTCAGAGGTGAAATGTTAAGACTCAAGTTAAGTAGATCAATTCAAAGGACTTTTAACGCAGCTAAACTACAACTAGTATTTTCCACACGACCAATAATCACTCCGAGGTTGAAAGATAAATTACCTAGACTAGCCACCTCCTTCTGTATCTATCAATTCAACTGCTCCTGTGGAGCAAGTTATATTGGCAGATGTTCTAGGAATTTGTACATTCGGGCTCGTGAGCACCTACCCATGTGGTTAAGCAAAGGTGTTGTCAAAAACTGTTAACAGCTCCATCTTAGACCATTTAGTCCAAACAGGACATACAGCCAACATGGAGCAATCTTTTGCAATAGTTTATCGTGTCAACAGCAGTCTACCTAATTCCGTCAGACTGCGAATCCTACAGACGGCTGAAGCAATTGCTATTCGAATTAAAAAGCCAGAGCTTTGTATCCAAAAGAAGTATGTTCAGCCACTCCTTTTACCCTGGCCAACTAGCTAATAATCAATCTTAAAATATGGTGACGTAATCTGATTAATGTTCATTTTATGTCCCAAACTTATTATTATTATTACTGTTATTATTATTATTATTATTACTGTTATTATTATTATTATTGTCTTTACACTTGATAACCCCTTTTTGATGAATTTATTCAATATCCACCCCTGAATCTACTATATCTGACCTAATTATTTTACATATTACGCAATTTCCGATTTGTAATCAAAATATTCTCTCTCTCTCTCTCTTACCCCATGTTAACCATATTTATTCTGATAATTTATCTCACAATTTCATTTCACTTTTAAACTGATTCAAGTTAACACTTCATATTAGTCAGCCCCAACATTAACAATTTTATTTATATAACAAACAATTCCTGATTCACATATTACAATTTCCAAATGATGTGCTCTCTGCCTTAAATCTGGCCAATTTTATGGATTATTAATCTGGATTTATAATTGTAGAACCTGATGAGAAATTATTGAAAAGAATATTCTTCGTTCATACAGTTGTGTTTTTAATATAATGGGAATTTTTCAGCAATATATATATATATATATATATATATATATATATATATATATATATATATATATATATATATAGAGCAAATAAGATGACATACTCGTCTTGACTGTCCTCTATTAAAATAAGAATGAGCGATAAACTGCAGGCTACATGAATAACCAGTTTTATGATTTTCTATGGTTACATCACCATAATTATCAATCCATATTGTACCAACAATTAAATTATGAACAACTGTTGTTACTTTTGTCCAAGTATAATGTGATCCATCAGCGAACTGCAGATTAATGGTACCTAAATGACAAATTAACATGGAGTAAGAAAACGTAAGGAAATGGAGAACTAAGTGAAGGAAAAAGTATAGATGTTACGTAATTTGTCTAAAGTGAGTTTTAGACACTTTGAATTAATAAAATAACAAGTGAGAAAAGGAATTCTAAAGGATAAGTTCGATAGTAATATGTAAGAATATTTCAGTTATGGAATTACAACTGAACTAGGCATACACATTCAGATAATGTTGACTTACGAAGATATGGTTATCAAATAACTTCAACTACCTGTATTCATCAAACACCCAAATAATATCATTTATTTTTAAATGTGCGGTGGCAGACAGGATAAAAAGAAAAATCGTCTGATCTATGCTCAATTAAAAAACGTAACTGAAATACTTTAATTCTTTTTGTATTGTTTGTTTGAATCTTCTCACTGATGTTTAGGACTGCAATTGACCAGATTCTTATTAATATATGTACATCCTGTGAGGGTTGCCTCGATATTGACTTAAGTCACAAGCATTATGAGCAAAGATGGATGGTGGCTAGCAGTAGAATCCAGGATTTAAGGCAGTATCGAGGCAATCCGCACAGGATGTACATATGCCAATAACTGACTGATCAATTGTAGTTGAAAACATCCATGTGAAATATCAAACAAACAATATGAAATGAATTTAACCTTCACGCCATTGCACAAGCTAATGGCTATCAGAACTCAGTAATTAAGTGAATAACGCGATGGTGTTTGGAGAGAATGGTACTAGGTTCGAGTCTCGGAATGGACATCAACTCTGGGATGCAGGTATATTCAGCTGACGAGTCCCAAATAGGGAGAAACGAGCATCACGGATTGCACTGCTGACCACCATCCATCTTTGCTTGTAACTGAAATGCATGAGCACCTACATAAAATGATCAGTTATTTTACGGAAATACAAGACTAATGTAAAACAAAACATATTGAAATGAAAACCATTAGAGGTTATATGACAAGTAAGAATTATCAATAGCAGTTAGGTAGTAATATCAATGACATCTAAATGATTTTAAAAACATGTTTTCTACAAATCCCTGTTTTAAATGACTCTTAATCATGTACACTTTTGGGTTCAATATTCTGCATAAATTTTGTTAGAAAAACCCTGTACTCATGGTATACTGTGATGTTTTTCAAATTGAGGTTACTAAAGGCTTGCATAGTAATCTGGTTCCGTGAGAATCTACCAGTAAATTTATAGGGTATCAGTACGCATTACTTATCGATCAATATCGTGTTACCCTGAGCTGTAACGTGTTGGAAAATCCTAAACCTTCCCTTCATGACTAGCTGAAAAAGAGTATATCATCCCATCAAACAAGCCGATAGAAAAGTCATTAAATTCCTCATTAAACCACTCTAAATATCTTCTACATTAGTTTTATTGGATGTACCAAGTGAATAAAGTTAGGATAGTCACAACATATACACTAAAGTTGGAACAGTGATTTAATAATTATACTGTTTCGTTAGATTATTATGCTTTAACAGACCTACAATAATAATATAGAATGTGTTATGTTGGGTTTCTTTCACGATTTCGCTATTTAACATCGAATCCAATAAAAAGACTCAGTTTTCTGTTTAGGCTTTTCTGTTATTTAAAAACATAAATATTGGTACAAGGAGGCACCAAATACTTATGTGCCACACAAATCTCATTTGATATATGTGAGGGCTGTGATACCGCTCGCGTGACAGACCGAAGCAGGTGGTTTTCATAGGGGGCCACACGCTGAGCCGTTGACCTAAAGGTCTAACCCATAAGGCAGTGGAGCATCGTGAGAAGATGCAGTCCCATGGAAGCCGGTGACCAACGATTGGTTCATACGCCATTTGTTCCTTCAGGATACTGGAGCCCATGTGCACCATTGGTTTGTGATCCGGTTAAAGCGCCGGACATTCGCTTTTCGTCCTCTCAATTTCGTAAACAACACCCCCGCCACGAGAAGGCAGTGAGTAGGACTTCCCTGGCAGAGGCTGTATACGCGTGGCCGTGTGAGAGAATTTAGAGAGGGAGGGCGGGCCCACTCCACTCTCGACCATATCAGGGCATTTGGGGGCTTAGGCTTTTCATCAAATTTACATACAATTTATGATACTCAAAACTTGAATTTAAAGTTTTTGTACTTTGTATTCATTAACAAAATCATAAAGTCTACAAACACCAGACCGTTAAACTTTGAACTGAATGCTCTATTAGTGAGAAAAAATAGTGTACCAACTTGAAGAAATTCAATCATTCAAAAAATTCTTTCATGAAATCGTAATTGAAAGTGCATTCAAAACAGAAATAAAAAGTAACTTCTATGAAAATGCATACTAATGTAAATCAACATAAAACAAATCATCACATGAATCTGAAAAAGTAAACATTCCACATAAAGATGTATTATAAGAGGTTGGGTTTTTTTTTTCTATTCGCTATGAAAACAATTCTACCTAAGGTATGTTAGTTTATTCATATCAAACTGGACGTATATTTATTGATTCAATCTCACAAGAATACATAACGACCTAATCACATGAATAATGTAACATATTTGTAGAAACAAATTACTCATAAACAATTTAAGTAAAATAAAATAATGTCAATAAAATAAATGACATACTCTTTTTATGACAACAATTAGTTTAATAGACAGATAATGTCAAATTTCAAAAGTGCTGGTTAAAAACAATTTATTCTAATACTACTAGAAAATGTGACCAGCTAGAAATTAAAACACAGTTAAATAGTTCAATATGATCAGGAATTCAATTTTATGTACAAGAAACGATATGAATAAGTTTATGATAAAAAAACATGTTAATTACATTGTTAGTAAAGAAAAAATCTGACAGATAAACAATGAAATTATTAACCATGTAGTGACCACTTCTGAAAATTAATTATAAGAGATCTAATGACAAAACATAGTCAGTGAAGTTCAGTTAAGTTAGATGAGGCAGTTAATCACCTATCAACAGAACTGAAAGATGGTTATGCAATATTACGAATTGACGGGACTTGGAAATTTAAACCACTGGATCCCGCCTCTCAATAGTCTAACAGATAATCACTCGTCATGAGATCTGATTTTTTTTGTTTGATCCTTAGAATGATCGTAAATGTGCATTGCTGAAAAGTCTCATACTAATATGAAACAGCTATTCCGTGCTTCCTGGTTTATAATCATTCTCTAAGTTCAGCCAATGATGTAAACTAAGCGATTCGACAATCACTACAAATATCGTTTAGTAATAAATTAATATCATCACGAAGCTCAATATATTCATGAAACAACACAGTAATAATTCCGAAAAATATTTATAGCTAATTAATTTCTTATAAAGAAATACTTAAATACAATAAATAAACAATCATTAATGGGAACCACAGTGAATGACAATTCACAAAAGTCCATAGAAAATACATACACAAGTAGAGTTCATTTAAAATAGAACAAAACTTGAAATAAACTAGCAAACAATAGAGGAAAACAAATAAACACGCAAACAAATGAATTGATATTGGAAAATATAAAAAGAAGAATCAATACATTTGTATGAATAAAAAATAAACCATATCCAAATAACAAAACCAGTAATGCAATAAGTTTTAGTTGTTAAAGAGAAGAGGTGATCAATTTTTTCAACGTTTCTCATATTCCTTTAGCTAAGGATGAACTAAAAACAATATAAGGTTTAAATATACATTAAAATATATAATGACAAATTTTATAATAGTTGAGTGTTGAAATATATGATTTTGAAATAGCACGAAATGACCGGCCCAACAAACAGACAAAGTAACTCTACTTACTGAAGAATATTGACGAACCCAGTGATGATACATACTACTTATATCTATCGACATCGGTAACACACACCACACTCGTCTCCCTTCAAGGCAGTCGTTCTAGCAGTGGTTATGCTCGCCGTGTCACTTTATTCTTTTCTGCAGTCTATGCCGCGCTCCTCGTCAGTGTCGAGTCTGTGGAGCGTTGACTTCCATAGATACGTAGACCTGCCGGACAATCGAAGTTCGACGTATACTCATCACATGGAACGTTCAACACCTGCGCTCCAGCGACCTGCTGAGCCATCTACATCCGATGTGCGCCAAGCATCCGCACTTCAATAGCACCCGGGCAGTATCCCAGCCCTTACACAAATCGAATGATTTGTGTGGTGCATATTTGTTTGGCAACTCTTTGTACGAATGTTTACGTGTTTAAATAAAATAAATAAATAGAACCTCTATGCATTAAACCGCCCCAACTGGCACCTCAGCTCCTGGTCCACAACGGGGTCCGCTGAAGAGCACTCTTCCACACCTCCTGGTTTGCAGTGACACCAAATGTAGTGAACAAGAACACAAGTGGGGACAATCGGATGCATTTGACGACAAAATTATGGGACGACTTAGCATATGGCCATATGGCAAATACTTCATTTGCAAAATGTCGATCAATCGTCTTAGACTTGATTGTTCCTCTGATTCCACACCAATCATTCTGTATTTCTTCTCTTTTCTTCGATCTTCTTAACCGTCTACCGCCAAACATTTAACTTTCGATTGATGATATATACTACTTATATCTGTCGACATCAGTAGTACACAGCACAATATCACATTGTGGCATGGGAGTTTATGCACATAGTGCATTGCACATTCAATTAATTACTGGGAAATGACCAAGCGATTAAAATTATTTCAGTCTAACATGAGGTCAGTCACCAACCGATTAACTCATTAGTAGCATTTCAGACTGTGAAGTTACATGGCACGTCATCGATCCATCAGGTACACATTGTTAATGAGTGTTACAAAACATGAAACCCGGGAACAAAGTTCCCTCTCAACTACCTCTAACAATCTAAAAGTACACTATTTATGTAAAAATATATATCATGCGATGACGCGTAAAACGGTACAATCGGTTTATCTATTGTGAGAGATCTAAGTGTACAATTCGGCTTACCAAATTAAA